AAAAAAAAGAGAGAAAAAAATCCTGGTAAATTTCTTTATTTTTTTGCTTAATAATGTGTCTAATTTATTTATATTTAATAATTTTTGTAAATGATAAAGTTTTCAGCTGTTTTTGACGGTAACTAACGCTGACTGTAAAGATAATGACATTTCCTTATAAATTGAATTAACTTTTAAAACTTCAGTAGCGTAATTTAATTATTTATTTATTTATTTTACTAAATTTCATGAAACTCATTCCAAATTCATCCCCCCTAGATGACGTAGAAAGTGAAGACTAGCTCCTCAAACTGTCTTTTGATATTTGCTTAGATCCATTTTTGGATCACTAGACGATGAGTGCACTTGATGCGTTGTACTCTAACGAATCTTATTTTGTATTGTGTGGAGTTAGTTAAACAATCATTTTGTGAATTTGTACCTAATTTGTGTGCTTCAATGATAGTCTTGTATTTTGTGAGGTATGAATTTAACTTCCATAGTTCATATAATATTAATGCACTCATATTTATTCGATTATCGGACACCGTTATTTTTTGGGTACCGAGATATCACTGTATAGGTGGCAGAAGTAGAAAAAGAAATAGTAGACAGTATAAATAAGGGTAGACGACTTACAAGCAGAAAAGTCACAACAACAATATTCAATGTTACAATTGTAAGAGGTATGACATGTAAAAGCAGAATGCTGGAAATTATGCAGAAGATGAAGAAACAATTGCAAATTATGGCATACAAAAATGACACTGCAGCTTCAACTGATATATGTTTTCTAGACAGTGGATGTTCAAATCATATGACTGTAATAAAATCTCTATTTAAGCAGCTTAATAAGTCATACAACATAAAAGTAGGACTTTGTGATGACAAGCAAGTGCAAGTTGAAGGCAGAGGCATAGTGGCAATAAACAAGAGCAGCGGTGATGTAAAACTCATCTAAAATGTTTATTTTATTCCTAATTTATCATAAAACTTGTTGAGTGTTAGGCAGCTTATGGATAATGGACACTCTATTATGTTTGATAATAAGTCGTCTGTAATTAGAGATAAAAAATAAGATCAGGTTATTGTTAGTGTACACATGACACTAAATAAACTTTTTCCACTTGAGGTATCTAGTGTTGAAAATCATGCGATCTGTTGTTAGCAGCAAAGGTAGTGAGTTTAGATTGTGGCATTTAAACATAAAAAGTTTGAGATTGTTAAGTTTAAAAAGAAATGGTACTTGGGCTTCCTAGAATTGAGTCATTAGATTTGTGTGAAGGTCATATGGAAAACAATGTAAAAAATCATTTTCTTTGGGAAAATCTAGAAACGGCATACGAGTGTCTTGAATTAGCATGTTGATTTATGTGGTGCCAACAAAACAGCGTGGGAATCACTATTTTCTATTGTTTATAGATGATTACAGTCGTATGAGTTGGGTCTACTTTCTTCAGTTCAAGTCAGGGACTTTTGAAATCTTCAAAAAGCTTAAGGCACTCATTGAGAAGGAAAGTGGAACAAGTATAAAGGTACTTCGTAGCGATAGAGGAAGAAAGTTTATTATGTCTCATGAATTTAATCAATTTTGTAAAGAACAAGGGCTGCACAGAGAATTAACAGCATCATATACACTGGAGCAAAACGGAGTGGCTGAGCGAAAAAACTGCACCGTAGTCAAAATTGTGAGAAGCTTGTTGAAAGCAAAAAGGCTGCCAAATTGTTTTTGGGCTGAAGGTGTTGCTATTGCTGTGTATTTATTAAATCTATCTCCAATAAAGGCAGTCAAATCAAACACCATTTGAAGCTTAGATTGGTAGAAAACCTTGGGTAAATCGCTTGAAAATATTTGGTTGCATTGTTTATTCTTCAGTAGATTTACAAAATTGCAGCAAAGATGAAAAAAATTCGTGAAATATATTTTTGTGGGTTATGGTATTCAATCTAAATGAAGCTCTGATGAAGAAGCTAGCCGGATTTGGCATGAAAAATCAGATGACATTCAATTCAAAATACTAAAAGAAAATGAAGCTCTACCAACTGTTGGACAACAACTAATTCCTCCAAATTCACCTGACTCATCTTCATCAACTTCGTCAAGCTCCACTTCATCATGTTCTAGAAATGAAAGTTCATCCGAAGATGAAATTCCTCCAAGAAAATTCAAGTCATTGATTGAAATTTATGAGTGCTCACAAGCCTTGTTTGTTGCTGATCTAACAACCTTTGAAGAAGCAGTAAAAAAGGAAGAATCACAAAATACAACGAAAGAGGAACTTGCAGCCATCCGGATAAATGATACTTGGGAATTGGTGGATCTTCCTAAAGACAAAAAAATCTATTGGAGTTAAATGGGTCTTTAGAACAAAATATCAATCAGATGGCAGCATACAAAGCCACAAAGCAAGACTTGTGGTGAAAGGCTATTCACAGCAATAAGGTGTAGATTATGATGACACATTTTTTTCGGTAGCGCGATTTGAGAAGGTGAGGACCATTCTAGCATTGGCTGCACAATTAAAATGACCGAGTTTGACGTTATATTTATATTTTTAAATAGCGACGTGCAAGAAGAGGTGTATGTCACCCAGCTTGAAGGATTCATAACTGAGAGTAAAGAGGAAAAAGTGTATAAGTTGTGAAAGCCCTCTATGGGTTAAAGATGGTACAACAAAATAGACTCTTATTTTCTTGATAATGGCTTTGAAAGAAGTAAGAATGATCCCAATCTTTCTGTCAAGAAGCAAGATTTAGGAGAGTTGTACTATTTTCTTGGGGCAGAAGTGAAGTTGAAGATGACATCTTTGTATCTTAAAGAAAATATGATATTGATTTACTTAAAAATTCAACATGCTGAACTGTAAAGCTGCAGTCGCACCAATGAATTTAAATGAGAAGTTGCAGGTTGACGATGGTACTGAACAAGCAAATGCAAGAGATTTCAGAAGTCTGATTGGTGGTTTAATTTATTTGACTCATACCCGACTTGATATTGCCTTTGCAGTTGGAGTTATTTCCAGATTTATGCATTGTCCATCAAAGCATCACTTTGGAGCTGCAAAACGAGTATTGTGATATGTTGTTGAGACAATTGATTTTGGGTTATGGTATTCAAAGTTCAAATTGACTGGTTTGCTGGAGTTTGAAGAAGCAAACAAAGACAGTTTTATCTACGTCAAAAGCTGAACATACAGCTGCTACATCATCAACATGTCATTAAGAAGAATTCTTGCTTATCTTTGTCAAGAACAAATTGGAGCAACTAAAATTTTGTGCAACAACCAGGCTGAAATTACTATGACAAAAAATCTAGCGTACCATGGAAGAATAAAAGATGTAGATATACTGAGTCTATTTTATTGGAGATCTTGTGCCAGATGGTTTAGTCAAATTGGAGTACTGTAAGTCAGAATGAACAAGTGGGTAACATTCTCACAAATAAATCTCCCACATGACAAGCATGTTTGGTGTTTGCAATTTTGAATCAAGGGAGAGTGTTAAGACTGATTCAAAATTGGACAGCTGGATATTTGAATGAGTTTTTAATTTGTTAAGATATTTGCTTTCCTAAAATTTCTAAGTTTTTTGTTAATAGTAATAAGACTTTGATTGCTCTCTTATTTTTCTGCTTTAAGTTCATTTATAAAGCCTGTTCTAGTTGTTGAGTAAATAATCTATTACATTCCAGCAGAGGTTCACACTCGGTTGCTGCATTCATTCTTTTGTCTGCTATATTTTCATTGCTGTTGCAATAATTTTGCAGCAATACAAATTTCATCTAAAGCTCTCTTCTTCGCCAATAAAAGGAGCCTAAGTAGGTGGATGGATCATCCTTGAGCGGCGCAAGTGATGGCACGGACAGACAATGAGCAATTACAAACACACACACACACACATATGCATATGCATATAGCATGCTTAATCATATGCAAAAAAAAAAAAAAGAAATAATAGGGAAACATTGAAAATCTTTATATAACTACAGTTGAAAATCTATAAAAGGAAAATATAATAGAATTAAGTCTTTTTTATCATTTGACAGTTGCAAAAGATCCCACATTCAGGATTCGTCAAACGTTATCACTAACATTTTTATTCAAGCAACAGTTATGTGTTCTTTTGCTATTTATATTATTTAATAATCACTTGATATGCCATAGACATCTTTCGAGACTTACGTTTAATGCTTTGATATACGTGTTGGACAATTGATAATCTAAAAAGTAAAATTTATATTTAATTATTACAAGAATAGAGAAACCCAATTCCAACCCTCTAGAGCAGATAAATATAGTACCAAGTTTTGTCAACAAATTTTTTTTTGAACCTACCATGCTAGTGGGCAAGAGACACACCCCGCTACCTCATCCATCCCACACCATTAATTATCCTTTGCTGACAGTTTTTGTTAAATTTTTTAGTTTTATTTACTATTTAAAGTTATTTATAAATAATTCATATAATTAAATAAAATTACTCTGTCAAATATTTGGAAGAGACATGGATTTATTGACTTAAGCAAAAATAAGAATGGTTAAAAGAATCAGCCCTTCGAATAAGCATGGCTTTCTAGATAGAAATTTTTACATGCAAGAGAGATCCCAATTCCGTGTATATGGTTAAACCAAGCCCTACTACTATGGCTTCCTGCATGTTGGCAAATTATTGTTCTTTAACTCTTCATTTTTCTAATGTAACATCTTGAAATGGTATTGGATTCTTGTCTTATATTCTTTTTAATAATGATAATTGATAGATTCAAAATGTTTAAGATAACAAATCCTGTAAGTCGATAGTACGGGAACTTTAGACTAACCTAAAATAAAATAAAATAAAAGAAAGATTTCTTTTAAAAACAATTCAAGCCACACATTTAAAAGTAATTTTCCTAGACTAGACTTTGTGTCTGTATCAGTCACATTCAGTTGAAATTTTTTAGTATACATTCATGTTAAAGCAAACCAAAAGGTTAACACGGTGATCAGGAGAAACATGATACAAGAAAAAGGAAGGGCAAAACCTTGATCATATGATACAAAACTCCTGAAACTTATGGTGCATGCATTTGTAAGTATATCACAAGGCAGGTAGATCTACCGACCAACAGATTTTTAGAAGCCTAGCAAACTTACCATCCAGTCCATAACTCTTGAGATCAGTGGGGCGAACATCCAAGCAACCTTGGAAAACGTTGGATAACTGAGTGTGCCAAGAATGAACCAGTTTAGGCTTAAGAGAGCCACTGCATCTGAACCAGCTCTGTTTTTTACACTAGAGAAAAACTCGAAAGAACTTTTTAGTGACATACCAACAACAGCATAAAGGGCTCCTAAGAGGGGTACGCAAAGGTCTTCAGATTCCCAGATAATCATTTCAACCAAAAGCGATAAGACTGCACCCAAAGTAGTCTGTGAAAGTGCAATCTCTCTTTTATGAAGAATTTCACTAATTTCCATTTTTCTGGGGTCAGTATTGAGTGTAAAGGGTTGTACAGGAGCCCTACTGGTTGATCCAGCTTTTAGATAACTAAACAATCCAGTATGATTCTTGTTCTCCTCCGTGCTTTCATCTCTTTTCATCATTCCATCCTGGCAGATTTGGCTACTTTTCCCATGCCAAGATAGCCATGTGTCACTCCAGCAAGGAAGATGATGGTCGTCAATGGTACCAATATTTTGGCCACTATCTTGGTCAGCATGCCCTTTCAAGCTCCAACTTTCTTGACCACGAATTTCCTTCAGCCAAATGTTTTCCTCCTTCAAAGCCCGTACCTGTCAAAATGAAAGCATAGAACCAGGAAAGCTAGACAGACATATTTAAGGAACATGCATAAACTAAAGACTAGATGATTATGCTGTCACAATGATTTCTTTTTCTTACAACTTTGGGACTTCACTATCCAAATGCATGCAGTTGCATATGTACTTTCCTTCCACCTCTGTTCACCTTTGGTTTGTCAATAATAGTGTGCTTGGGCTTCAGTTCAACAGATAAGAAGCCAGTTGAAGAAGATAAATTGTTTACCTCATCCTCTAGCTTCTCAATTTTAGCAATGGCCCTTTCACGTTCCTCCTCAACTTCTGCTAACATAGACCCCAAAGTTCTATGTTCTTTTATGACTGTCTGGATATTTTCTTGAAATTTTTGGCCTTCCCATAGAAGGGTCTCCACCTCAAACTGCATCTCAAGCAAATGTTGTTCCACCTGCAAATGAAATAATCAATTCTCGTTCCTAAGAAGCCTTGTCAGCTGGTTTCAATATGTAGAAAGCCATTCAAGAACAAAGCTAAGCACCAATTTGCATCAGTAATTACTAAATAAGAGAAACTATACTAATTTTTGAATCATGATTCCAATGAAAGAAATTAGAGTTATATGTAAAAGTAAAAGAAAAAAAAAAAGACAAGGAAATAGAAAAATGAGGGGCAGGGTTTGGGGTAGGATAACCAACTCAAAATGCATCTACCAAAGTCATGTCCTTCCTTTCTGCTCATCCTTTCCATACTCTGATCAGATTATTTATCTGTCACTTGTAGAACCACAATACTTAAAAACACTTCAAACTAACCTTACCTCTTTCTTTTCGTCATATATGAAACAATGTCAAACATTTTCTTAAAAATAAATTGAAATGACAAGTGTGAGATCTCAGAAACCATGATCAAAATTTTGGGACAGAGTACGTTAGCGTCATATATTCAAAATCAAAACCTTTGCTGATCAAGGGGTTAAAAAAAATCATGTCAAAAGATTAGCAATTTGACAAGGCCAAGAGTTTTACTTTCATTTTTCACATTCAGATTTTTTTGTTTCACAGTATATCATGAAATCAAAACCCTTATGGCTTCAATAGAAAGCTTTAAAGAATGTATCCTTTTAATTCCATTATTACATATCAGATTGAGGCTAATTATAATAATCTGCATACATTTAATTGTTTCTGTTTTGTTTTTTTTTTGCCCCATCATGAACACCAATAAACTTTCTGCTCAATCTATTACATACGTTTTTATGGGATATAGCACTAGTCACAAAAGTTTTGCTTGTTATGACCTTTGCCTCATCAAAACCCTTATGGCTTCAATAGAAGATCTATTTCCCGGAATGTTGTTTTCTTTAAAAATCAATTCCTCTTTCCAACATATGATTAGTCGTCCCATGATATTGCTATTCTTCTTGATTTTGACGAATTGCCTTCCTCTACTAAATGTCTCAAGCCTGGGTTTCTGTATCAACAATGTTCTTCACGACCGCCCATTCTTAATCCAAATCCGCCATCTTATCCTGCTCCACCTGTATTACGTTCGATCTAACAACTCTCATGCTCTTAATCAGTATGGCTCTTATCAATTATTATTTTGTGCTACTTTTTCTTCTATTCAATTCCATCTTCTAACTCACAATCAGTTATACATGAATATTGTAAGAAGCAATGCAAGAGAATCAAGCTCTTCAAGATAATCATACTTACTACGTTCTTTCATGTCCATAAAAGTCGTCTTATTGAGTGTAAGTAGGTTCACTAAGTGAAACTCTGCTCTGGCAGGACAATAGATAGCTAAAGGCTAGGTTGGTTGCCCTTGATAATCAGCTTATTGAAAGAAAATCAGAAACAGCCGTTCAATCAAGATTTTATCAAACCAAAAGTTTATCAACCAGAAAGCTTGCCTTATAGCCAACTACTCATAGCACAGAGGAAAATAAGAATAACAGTATTTTCCTTCACTTTTCATTTCTTCAGCTGTCAAAAAAGAAATTGATGGATCCTAGGAGAACTTTATTTTCTGCAGACCCATTTATCACGTTAAAGTTCCAAAAGGAATAGCAAAAGAGAAATGGTGCTCAGACTTCAATAGGATTTTGTTGAAAGCCAAAAAGTAATAAGGAAATTTTATTTTTTGACTTTTTAGTCTCTTTTTACCTTCACCAAGAACACTATCCTGCCAGTTTCTGAAATAGTCCTGCTAACTTACTAACCCAAGAAAGGACTAGCAAAAGGGTTCAAGATCATCAACTCTAGGCTCATCATCTTATTAACTGCTAAGAACACTCTCTGCTTGCTGGAAAATCCATAATTAAATCCAAGTAAAAATGTACATATAAAAATCTACATTCAAATTCATACAAAAAAGCGAAGCAGCAGGCAACATGCGATTTTCGAATATATTTCAAGTAAATAATTAACCATGACGTTAAAGTTGCTCAAGACAGCAGAAAAAACTAACCAGTCTCTCCCGTTGTAAGGCAGTCAAAAGTCTCACTGGAAGATATAGAAGAGCAGCCAACCAAATCATTGTTTTCCACAACATATTCATTGGGAAGCATATCAAAGCTCTTACCAGCTGCATTGATATGTACATAACAACCATAGCAGTCTTCACCCAGAAGATGCACACATGGATGCAAAGTGAGAAAGGCTTCGGGAGCAGGATCATTATGGTAGCAATTAACTCACGAAACACCGTAAGGTCCAACTTTAGTTCCCCAGGAGAACTCTTGAATACTTAAATTACATATTCTCGCAGTATAGAAAGGCTAAGATAGAAAACATTTAAGCTCCACTAGCCTGCATTAATAGCAAATCATGAACAAAGTGAAATCTGTTGAACAAAAACATTCGCAAAATTTATAAAGAAGAAAACGCAGCAACCAGCCAATGACGGGTAGAAAACAAAGAGAACACTTCAGAAGATAGCAGCAATTTGATGAGGATTATAACCAAAACGAATGATTCAAAATAAGAATGATGCAAAACTGGAACTTCTTTAAAAATTACACGGACTTCAAATGCCTCAAAAACCTGGATAAAATATACGAATATTCTCGCCCAAATCAGCTCAAGAAGAAAATAGAAATTTGAATAACTCCAAACCCCTAAAAAGTATTAGATACTATTAGTACACAGCCAATCCTGCATAACTTGCTGAAATTTTTTCCAAAGCCTGTATAAATTAAAATCCATGAACAAGAAGGAATAATTTCTCGGATACTTCCATAACGTTAAACGTAGTAAGGAGATCACTAGAAGTACAAAACTGGTATAAATATCAGAGATTCTCTGGAACTAATTGCAACTCCAACCACAGACATAGCCTTCGACAATTAAACTGATTGTATTTCTTCTAAAACAACCATCGTCTATCAAAATGAAAACTAAAGAGAAAAATAACTGTAATGGGAATACGAATTTACATGTCTATCAAAGATAACAGAGTCCATGAAAAGGCTTTGAAATCAACCCTTGTGTATCAGTAAACATACATGCAGATATACACACGGAAAACAGAAAGTGCAGGAAAGAACAAATGCTTGCAGTGATGAGATTACACTACTGCAATCGGAGCAGACGGCAATACAGAGAGGGGTAACAGGTGGAAATATTAGCTGAAGTGGCAGCGAGAGAAACCCCATCACTGACACGTTAGAGGTTTCATCCAGAATGAGCGAGGAGCCAGTATTATATTATACAATATACTTTCGCGCCCATATTAGATTATTAATTTGTCCGACCATAACTTCATTTGCAAAAAATACAAGTTTTTTTTTTGAAAAGAAATTCATTTCATTAAGAACCAGCGGCAAGTACAGCAGCAATCGGGGACAAATTATCCCAGATATGAAAGGCCGGGTAATCCCTCAAGGCCTGCGCGATATGGTGGGCTACAGTTTTATAATTCGTACGGACCTATCCCACTGAAATATCCGGGCGACTCGCAAGAAGGGCCTTAGAGCCTCAATAATATGCCCATTCTCAGATGTCCAATGCTGCGGATGACAACGCTTTCTGAACCAGCAACGCATCCACCTCGACAAACCCAAGCCCCGATAGATGGGACACAAGATATTGTAGAGCATCCCTGCACGCCAAGAGCTCTACAAGGAAAGGAGAGCGAGATTCTCTCAGGATCCCAGAGAAAACCACCATCACCTTTCCACCAGAATCGCGGATGATCGCGCCGAAGCCACCCAGCCCATCCGCCCTAAAGACCGAGCCATCCACATTACACTTCCAAGCACCTTGGGGTGAGGCCGTCCACTTGCCCGCTTCCCATAAGTCACTGGGGCTAGTAACACCCCTGCTCTAATTCCTGGGCTACGCGCCAATTACTCAAGAATTTTCTGGCCAGATAGATTGTCGTGGAGTCCGCAAATACTAATTCATTGCGTTCAACCCATAATCTCCATGGATAACACAATCTCCGCAGCGTGCTCTTTGGAGCACTTCGTGAGCAGCCGGAGAAGCCAGCTATTCATGTCCCCACCTTGTACACTCTAACACTGACATCCAATATAACCCAACACCTCATGGCTTTACCGCAGTCAATAAAAATATGCGGGATGGTCTCTTCCTGTCCACACCTTGGGCAACCAAACGGAAGCTGAATGCCTTTTGATTGTAGGATCGATTTCGTGGGCAGGGTCCGATGCAGCAGGTGCCATGCAAAGTGCTTAACATTTGGTGGGATTTCCAACTTCCACACATGGGTCCACATTTCCTCTCTGTTTTGCATATATGGTGGAGCGTGGTCATGCAATAGATGGTAAGTAGTCCTGACTGTATAGTTACCGTCTCTCGAGGGCCACCAAATAAATCAGTCTGCATTCTCCGAAAGCTCAATGGGATGGATAAGATGAGTTCAACTTCTTCCTTGACAGAAAGTCTTCTAACCATGTCAGAGTTCCAGTTCAAACCGTCTTTAGATAAGAGTTCACTAACTATGAGATCTTCCATGCCCTCTAAACAGGTCCTGTGCACAAAGCAGTCCTTCGAGCGGGGCAACCATGGGTCTTGCATACACGAATCTCTTGACCTGTACCAACCACCCATATCAATCCACTCAACACCAAATTTTTTGCAGCCACCAAACTCTCCCAGGTAAAACTTGGGTTGGAACCCAAACCAGCAGATAGAAAGTTCCCATTTGGAAAATATTTTGCTTTGAGGGTGAGGGCAAGTAACGAGTCCGGATTGCGCAATAATCTCCTGCACTATTTTCCAAGCATTGCAATATTGAATTTATAGAGGTGGCGAAAGCCCATTCCTCCGCAAACCTTGCTGTCACACATTGCTTCCCATGATTTCCAATGTAAGTTCCTCTTCCCATAGTTCTTTCTTCCCACCAGAAGCTGTTAATCATTTTCTGAAGTTCCGCACATAACGATTGAGGCAGCAAGAAGACACTCGTGCAGAACGTAGGAAGAGCTTGGGCCACCGACTTTAGCAGAGTTTCCTTGCCAGCTTTAGACAGAAATTTTTTGTTCCAATTGTTTAGCCTGTTACTTAACATATTTTTCAAAAAAGCAAAGATGGATCTCTTGTTTCTACCGATAAGAGAAGGTAGTCTCAAATATCTGCAATGATCAATGCCCGTGTGAGTGCCCATAATGTTGTTCAAGTAACTTCTCAGCTCATTGGATGTATTGCTACTGAAGTAGGTACCCGATATTGTGAAATTTATAGCTTGGCTCGAGGCCCGATCATACTCATTTAGAATTTGTCTTATTTTGAAGCATTCATCAGCAGATGCCCTGAAGAAAAAGGAGTCGTCTGTGAAGAGAAGATGGGTGATGCTTGGACTTCTCGGGCATACTTGAACCCTGTGGAAGCGGCCCTCCCTTTCCGCTTTCCTGAACAGAGCTGAGAGCCCCTCGACACAAATGATGGAAAGATATGGAGATCTCCCTGCCGAAGCCCTCTTCTCGGTATGATGGGGCCGACCTCTTTCCCGTTTACACTGACCATATAAGACACCGAGGAAACACACAACATTATGATCTGAACCCATTTCCGAGCAAAACCGAACTGTAGCATCATAGCCTCCAGGTACTCCCACTGAATGCTATCGTAGGCCTTCCTGATATCAATTTTCAGAGCCATGCTAGCTTTCTTACTATTCCCCGCCAGCTTTATCTTATGTATTGGCTCAAAAGTAAGTGCGATATTATCTGTAATAAGCCTACCAGGGACAAATGCCGACTGTGACTCGGCAATAAGTGAGGGCAGTACTCCCTTAACCTGTTCGCCAAAACCTTTGAGAAGACCTTATAGATGACATTACATAAAGAGGTGCAGCGAAGGTCTCTTATAGTTTTTGGGTTGTTCCTTTTTGGGATGAGGACAATTGTTGTGTCATTCAAACCATCCGGCAAAGACCCGAGTTCAAACCAACACTGACAGTTTCTAATCACATCCGTACCCACAATGTGCCAAAAGTTTTGGTAGAAAGCGAGATTCATACCGTCCGGACCCGACGATTTGTCGGGGTGCATCCGAAATACCGTTTGCTTGATTTCTTCACTACTTAACGGTGCAACCAGCCTCTCATTTGTACTGTCCGAGACACTATTCATGACATTCATCACCACCTGCTCATCTTCCCCTTTTGAGGCTGAGACAACTCACCAAAGTACTGACTAATATGGTTCTGCAGTTCCTCTTCCCCTCTGATCCATAACCCGTCTCTATTCTGTAGCATCGTGATGTGGTTTTTACCCTTCCTTTGCGTAGCTTGTCTGTGAAAGAATTTAGAGTTTTAGTAAGACTAATTAATAAATTAGTTAATTACATTGTAACCATTTTTGCTCTTCTTTCTTTTCTATCATGGTATCAGAGCAATGAATCTTTAACCAACATCTTTATTACAGTGATTGAGCTGCAAAACATTTGATCTCCATAGCTAGAGATCAGTCCGATGACCCCCAAAACCCATTCTTCCTTCACAGTGCCGACCACTCCGGGTTTAGTTTTGGTGTCCAATATTCTCAATGGCAACAACTACAACACATGGGAAAGAGCAGTCAGGATAGTACTGACCGCCAAAAATAAATTGGGATTCATAGACAGAACCATATGATTAACCGAACAACACCGACTCCCATGCCGCAGCTTGGTCGCGTTGTAACAGTATGGTGATTTCTTGGTTGCTGAATGCTGTAACAAAAGAGATAGCTGACAGCTTGTTATACCATGAATGTGCACAATCCATCTGGACCGATTTGCAGCTTCGTTATCAGCAGAGCAATGCACCGCGTATCTACCAACTGAAACAGAGCATGAACAACCTTGCTCAAGGGTCACTTAGCATCAACACATACTACACACGAATGAAAACAATCTGGGACGAACTCAAAATTTTTCAACTAGCTCCAACCTGTCACTACGGAAACATGAAGGCGTGGAATGATTATCAAGAACAAGAGTTTGTCATGACTTTCTTAATGGGATTAAATTCCTTCTATGCTGCTGTTAGAGCCCAAATTTTGATGATGGAATGCTCTCCGTCCATTTTGAAAGTTTTCTCGCTGGTGGTGCAGGAAGAGCGGCACCGTGCAATCGGGTTCGACACACACGCAGAAACAGGTCACGGGTCCGGATCCTCTATTGCCCTAACTCAAGGAAGGAGAAGACCCACCTGTTCACACTGTGGACTTGTGGGCCACACTGTGGACAGGTGTTACCGCCTACATGGCTACCCACCAGGCCTCAAGCCCAGGTCCAAAATACATTTTAATGATGGACCTGTCCAAGTCCAAAACCAGACTCGCAATGCTTCAGCTGTTTTTAATGAGGGGCAAGTCCAAACGCAGGCCCAAGCCCGCAACTCCCCCGCTATCTCTCGGCCCACTCCTGGAACTAGGTCTTTCAACCCGACTGGCCCCCAATCCAAGCCCGGGTTCTTCTCTGCCAACCAAGCCTTGGCCCATGAAGTTTTTTTTCCAGAACACACTTCATTCTCCTCCTCGGGCACGCACCCGATTGCAAGACCAGTGCAGAATTTCATCGCCTCTATCGACGACTGCTTACCGGCATCTGATTCCGCTACTTCCGTCGATGACTTAAGCACATCGCAAATTCAGAACATTATTGCTCACCTAAGTGCACGTCTCCACCAACCGAACTCTGTCATCTCTCCGGACAGCCTATCTCTCTCCACAAGTCACGCCACTCCTGATCCTCATGTGGCAGGTATATCCTACACACCCTTTTGCCTTTCCAACTTCACACACACACTTACCTCTAAATGTTGGATCATTGACTCTGGAGCCACACATCACATTTGTTGCACACCCATCCTTTTCACAAATCTTAAAAATGTGCATCCCATCCCAGTCACTTTACCAAATGGTAGTTCAGTGTTAGTCAATCAAGTTGGAAGTACACTCCTCACTGACACCCTAACTCTACATGATGTTCTCTTTGTCCCTCATTTTTCCTTTAACATTGTCAGTGTCAACATGTTGACCACTACCCACAACTGCACAATTCATTCTTGTGTCATCCAGGACCGCACTCGGGACTTGTTGATTGGGAAGGGTAGACGCATTGACAACCTCTACTACTTAACTACTAGATGTTTTCTTTTTCCTGCTGTTCATTATGTTTCCATTAACTCTAAAAGTATCCTATGGCACTTTAGATTGGGTCACATTCCCATGTAAAACTTCAGTATATTAATGAAGACTTACAAACTTCGAATATTTCTCATTGTAAAATTTGTCAT